TCCTTGTTCAAACTTTTCCCAGGTTTTCTATGGAAAAAACGCCCACAAAACTAAACAACCTTCACATCTTAGAAAAGTTTCCATGAAAATCTTGAGCAAAAGAACTGAGAATAATTCATTTCTTTCAAAACTGTTCACAGATTAGAGATCAGTGTGTTCTAACTGTGAGGGACACTACGGCCGCTCTCTGAGATACGAACAAGTTACGGACCAACACTTGTCCGTAACTCGAAGTGTCCGTAACTCGGATCCCATAGAGTTACATGGCGACTGCATTGTTTGTAAGCGCGGATCACCGTTCGTAACTTGGATCCGCATTTACGGCCGCGTTGGTCGTAAGTGCAGATGGTCGTAAGTGGAGGTGGTCGTAACTCGGGGAGTGGCTGGTAGTAGAAGAATGTGGCAAAGCTGGAACTGCCGCTGCCTATAATGACTCTATGGCTGGAGGACGTCTCTCTAGGCTTGGATCTTGCAAGCAGATCTGCTGGTGTGGATTCTTGTGCCTGCCTGGAGTCCCAGTCACCAAACGTATTGTATCATTGGGATATTGGTCTGTCAATCTGAAACCTTTGAGCGCTAAATTAATCAAAAGGGGTGAAAAATTAAGAGTGGAAACCAGCATCAAAGGTAAGCTGCATTCAAGTAAGGAGCCTCTCTCATCAGGAGAGGATAACCAAGAACTGTCTGTTCTGTGTTTAAATGATTTCCACAGTTAAGTGAGTTCTCGTGTTAAACAAAACAAAAATGCTGGTGAATACACCCGCAGAATGCTTGAGGTCCCCCACCCTCTTGAAAGTGCTCTGAATTTGCTTTTGAACAAGGGCACATGGCATGAATAATGGTGTCCTCCTAGTGACCTTGACAAGGAAACATCAAGATTAATCAACCAACCCATCCAAAACAAATGCACAGGCAGTAACAGCCAGAAAGGAAAGTATTTCATAACTATTGACTCTTGAGTTCTAGCAGCCAGTTTCTCCTTATATTATGCTGGGGCTTTTGTTCGTTGTTGTTCTTTGGTGGTGTTTTGTTTTTTGGCCGAACACAAATGGATTTTGGCATGTAGATGAAAAAGTCTCAATGTCATATTACACGCCCTTCTTTAGCAATCTTTATCTGGAAGCAAGATAATTATACATCAATCTGATTTTCAACTAAGTTTGCCTTTCTCGAGATAATATGCTTCCTGGAGATTAAAGAAAATAATAAAAAGAGAACAAAAGTACTGTGTACCTTAGAGCATGCTGAGTGTCTTCTGTTACACGCTGCATGAATTGGAGAGCAGTATGGTGGACTAGTTAGAAATGTAAAAGTACAGTATACTGAAAATATAGGGCATTACTTTCATGGCTACATACACAGCATAGCCAGGTGATAATTATACATGGGAGATGGGTCTGAAACTTAATGTTCAAGCCCAATGAATTCCTCCAAAGTTTGGGAGTGTCCACTTCTGAGGTTCAAGTCAGAGCTGGTCAAAATTTTTGAACCAACTTACATGGTCAAAAATGCTTTAAAAATTGTGACACTAATATTAACTCTTCAATTTTTTTATCTAAATGTTACATTCCTTAAATGAATTATGGTTTTATTTATGAGGAACTGGAGGGTTATTTTAAACAATATTTACATACCACTTTTTGAAGAATTCTAAAAAAGGGGAAAAGAATACTGCAAAACCAACTTCCGAATTGTGCTTTTTAAACTCATTTTAGTTTGGGCTCATTCTTGTGTGACTTCTATATGTTTTCAGACCCCAGACCACATATAAGGGTTTGCAGACTTCTTCAGAGTCATGACAACAATAGAGTATCCTTGGTTTAACTCTTATCTATAATAAACATTCCAGTAGTCCTCCTATTGTGCACTAAGGAGATAACATTTTGAGGGATGTCTGTTTCCAGTCTTATGGACAGGATGGGTTGTGCAGGGCGCCTTGAAAAGTGGCATTCAGTGCTGCCCAATGCTGATAGTGTTTTGACAGGATGCTTCCCCCTGACCCTTCAAGAACCTAAAATAAAAGGCATTTTTTTCAATGTTGTGTAATGCCAACAGACCCCGGTCATCTGTGGGTGGAACTGCATGAACCTGGGGACTCTGGAGCTTAGTGTAAGAGCTTCTACTGTGTGAGTTAAAAGCCATCTGACTGTCAGCTAAGGCTGTAGGGCAGACTCATTGTTATCCCTGTAAGTGATGTAAGAACCGCAGGATGGGACAGAAGCACACCCAGAAGGTGTGTGGGTTACTGTTGCATGGCAGATGATTCTCTGGAGAGAAAATTTAGAACACAAAATGTTGGCTCTCTTTCTGCTTGGACAAAACTTCTGAGTGAAAACAGAATCAAAAGCTGAACGAGGATATAAGGGTTTGGTCCTTGCTGGCTGATCACCTGAAAGCAGGATATCTCTTTCCATAAAATACAGGTATGAATTCTACCTACCTAAAGTAGGGTTGCCAGGGTCCGGTATTCACCCTGGGACACCTAATAGAATGTAGTTCAAGTGATGTTGTGGGCAAGGGAAAAACCCACCGGAAAGCATTAAACAAAGAAATGTTCTTGTGTTTTAATGTCCTTGCAGAGTATACTGGCCCTTGGACAAGAGCATCTTATAATGAATGTTTCGAAACTATAAACATCTTGGTGTTAAACAAATGATATCCTCGAACATCTCCTGTTCAGATAGGATTCATGCCCTGTGCTTTTTCCAGTGTTAAGAGTTTGGAGACAGCAATGCTTGCCAAGTTTGATACCTTTGGTTTTGTTCTTGCCCCTTGGTGTTGGCTTGAATACAAGATCTGTTTGATTTGTGACCCTGTCGAGCGGCGAAGGTTGTTACAGAATTCAAAGCCTTAATCATGTGAGTAACCCTGACTCATGAAAATATTTCCACTGACATGACATAAACTAATTGTGATGTTGAGGTTTTGCAGGAATGGACTCTAGGGGTTGTTTATGTCCCAGCTGTATTTTTCCCTCCCCACCTGACTATCTAAACTAGATCAGATTGGACGATGCTGGTCCTAAAAGATATTTATTTTCCTTTTATGTTTTTTAGACCAGACCCTTTGTATCTCATGCAGCATGTAACTTTTTAGTATTTTGGTATTCCCTGCATATCAGACATTCATTCTAGACTGGACGCACTGGTAAATGTGTGCTGTTTAAGCTTTTTGTGTAGCAATTCATAATTCCATGAAGTGATGGGCCTTGTATTAGTCCTTGTCAAACACAACCGGTACAACCAACTGTTGCTAATTGACATTACCAGACTGACCCGATGTGACCTACTATCAGATGCTTTGTGTTGAATACTAGAACTGACCTCTTAGACTTGCTTTCATGGCGATGATGAGAAGAGCTAACTACAAGCTTGGGCACACATCCTTGCTTTTCTTCAGAAACCTCAGTCAGCTGCTGAATAACCTCCAGAAGGCTGTTCAAGACTAAGCCTAGTCTAGCCGCTGGTAAAATGTAACAGTGTAGGATGTGTAGTGGTGGTGGGGGAATCCTCCTCTCAGAATTGGAGCAGTTTTGGTCTGTCACCAGTGAAATACAGGCAGTCACCGAGTTACGCGGATCCGACTTACGTCGGATCCGCAGTTACAAACAGGGATTTTCTCGCCCCGGAGGACTGGAGCGGCGGGACACCTGGTCCCTCTGCCCGCCTCCTCCGGGGCGAGAAAAGCTGCTCCCCATCTCCCTGGTCTGCTGGGGGAGCCAGCAGACTAGGGAGACGCTGAGCAAAGCCGCAGAGGACCCGGCCGGACCCGCGGCGCCTCCC